TCTGCCTTCAGGGCCTCATACACTATGCAGCAGCTGGATGAACAGCAGCAGCAGTCCAGTCAACGTATGCGCGAGGTCGAAGAACAAGTTCGAAGGACCGAGGAGCAACAGGCGGCCTTCCAAGCAAGAGAGGCGCATGCCGCTCTCCTTGCAGTAAGTAGCCTTACGCCCTTCGGAAGGAAACTCGCTGATTGGTGAGGTAGATGCAGACTGCTGACAGAAACACCATGATGGCCTATAAGTACGGGCCGCGGGGCCAACACGACTCAACCTCGTATGCAATTGATCTTAGTCTACCGGGTTTTGTCTCCGCTGCTACGCGAAAACAACGCGAACTAGATGAAATGCTTCGTACGACACCGCAAGGAATTTCCATTCCAGTTGGTCCAGCACTACCTACCAATTCGGCGCCGGTCGATCAGCAGCCCCCCGGCCATAACGCACGCCGATCTTAATGCCCTCGCCAACATTCTCATCAAAGAGGGCTTTGTAGCCCGTGTCGGCGATGGAGACATAAACAGCGCCACAAGAAGAGTTACAGCCCACCGTTTGAATATCAAAAGAACCCAGGAGACGATATCTCAACGGGAAGACAAAGCTTGGAAGGTTCGCAACCAACCATACGTACTGTCCATTCGATTGATTAGTGTGCAGGCGTTCGTTCGATTGCGTTGGAAGGACAATATGGGTCCTGTTCGTGCCGTTGAAACGCCGCAGAATCGATGATTTGCACATACACCACCCTTCATGGTTTACGGCCGAGACGCCCATCGGCGTTCCGCCTCCTGGGCAGTATACGTGGTACATCGGCACCCGTTTCGAAAAATCCACCTGGAACAACATACTTCTTAACAACGCCGCCGCTCAATTACAAACCGAGCGTTCCCGGGAAAGCATGCTCCAAGTTTTTCTCCCCGAAGTCGACGCCTCGTACATCCGCGCTCTTTTTCTCAGCCACATCAAAAATACTGTTACCGCCTTTAACAGCCGCGGCCCAAAATGGCGAACCCGGCGCAGCAGCAGCAGCTCGCCACGGGAAGAAAAGGAAAAGTCAGGATCATCAGAAAAAATTGCGATCGCGCAGGGACTCGAAATTTAAGAAGCGGTTGAGGATTGCAACGCGCTTATATCATGAGAGAATAAATGCGGGAGATACCGCAGGTCAGGCGCTAGCTCAATTTTACCGTGATCTGGTGCAACTTTTGGATGTCGGCGGTATGTCGGACGACGAGGATAACAGCGGCGACCTGGGGCAAGACATTCTTATGACGGAAAAACTCATATGGCGTCATCCTGAGATAGCGCTGCATCTCCATTGGCTTGACAAGCAAGAGAAAAAATTATTTCCGCTGGCGCGGCGGTCATTCTATAAGCGCATGGAGTCTTCCAATATTTCCACCCGACATCCCCGACGGGTCTTCCGCGTAGTTTGTTCGACGACGAGTGGTTCAAACAACAATGCGAAATTAATTCAGTGTTTGAACCGCAACTCGAGCTGTCAAAACAACCCTTCGAGCTTCGTGGATTTGTATCCTGGTAACTAGTTAGTGTCAGTACAGTACATATAGATACGCTGTAGAGCCTACAGTATTGGCGCATTTGTTAACTAGTAACTTGGCTACCAATAAGTGTTGGTTGTGCTGTCGAAGGGACTCGCCAGGTTGTACCATGCGTGCAAAGCTAAACAGCTAATCAGGGAAGCGGAAATGGCGGGCATCCTGGACGAGTGCCGGTTGAGGGCCGTTCTTCCCAGCTAGGTTTTCGCGATAATGATTTCCAGCAGGTCGCCACATTCAAGCGTGCAGCGGAGAGTCTGAGATTGAGGTCGATCTCGCCAGATGTGGGGCAGCCGCGGACACTCATTGACAAACGAGGGAGGAAAGTTGAAAGCGCGGCAATGGAATTTGGCTAGGGTAAGGGAGGAGTAGACTCAGTGGTTCGCGGACGCAGAGCGCGGTCAACAACGACTGGACGCGATACCTAAATGAGTTGCAAGGAAGCGCAAAACGCGCTCGAAGGATGGCCGCGGTTTATGATCCGCGGTGACGACATCAGTCACGTCACGCTTTTCTTCCCAAGACCGCCACCACCACCACTGTTGGGCGCGCTCTGCGCTATCCGTGGTGTGGCAAGTCTTGCGTTTTGTCGACCCGCTCTGCGTCGACAAAATACGCGAGGTATGGAAGGCGGAAGTCGTCCGAGCTGTAACAGGAGCTCATACAACGCTCTTTTCGCCGTCTCAGACAGTCCGCTGACCCTAATTTGGCCATGGGCTCAACCGCTAGAAAGGAAAAGCTAGCTCCCTTCAATGCCGATGGACCGCAAACACATCGAAAGGCATCTGAACTGGCAGAACGCTTCCTGCCTGACCCTTCCTGACGATCGCAAACATGGAACAATTAGGAGCAACGCTAGGGCCGAGAGTTGCGATTAAATTCTGACCTACGTCATCGCCAGAACGACTTAAATTCGCCCCCTCGTTCGATTCACCCGCCATCCAACCATGCCCATCTTCTCCGCCAACTCTCTGCCGCATTCTCCCCTGATTCCCTTGGCCCTCCCTGGTCGCGGCAAGGAATACCCCGATCTGTCGTTGGCCCGGGCCATCCTTTTGCTATCAAGCTCAAGGATGGTACCTTCGCTGACGTCTACATCTATCATCAAGACACGCCTCAGGCGGGACTAGAAAAGACTTGGGCATGGGAGCGTACTCTCACCATTCCAAACAAAACTGAATCAGAGTTGGTGGAATCAGGTAAGCTTTTGCTTTCTGCCATTGGAGTTCTGTGCCGAATGGTTTAATGAGGCAGGATTAACGTGAGTCTAACCATCTGGTACACCCTACACTGCCGAAAACACTGAGTTATATCGACCCTTCCATCTTTCCTCGGCCCCAGCTTCTCTCTCGGACCCCACGGATTGCACTTCCCACTCTTACCATCCTATCCTTAGTAACTCCATGCCCTTCATCTTGCCGCGGTACCCGTCGCTCCACTCCAATGGACTTTGCAAGTGCACCGCCAGCCAAACGAGCAAAGATCGCTCGTGACTATGTGGAGTCTCTCGAGCGACAAGCGCTTTCTGGGTGCTCATGTCACCCTTGCTGGCTCCCAAATCAATCAAATGCAACAACGTGTCAATGCGAAGGAGGGTAGGCAATCAGCTCGACCGAAACTCAATGTTGAGGCTCGTCCCTCGACTTCCGAGGAGGGTCTACGACTTGTCGAGGAACGCGATTGAGCAGCGCGGGAAAAAGAGGCAGAGAAATCTCGAAAAGAAGATGAACGGAGGCCTCGGAACGTGAAGAGGAAAGGGACCGTGTGATGAACGCGTCGAGCATGGTTTTCCAGGGGCATTGACAGGGCGGAAGAAGAACAACCTCAAGACCATTGCCTATGCCCTCGGAATTTCGATGGACGGCACGAACAAGCAGCTCCTAGAGCGCATTACGAACCATCTTGACCAGAACCCTGATGTACGTGCAGACCCGCGATTCGCTGAGCTGGGCAGCGGCCGTATCCGAGAATGCTGAAAACATCAAGGATAATACCCCAGCACCTTCTCATTCCGCTCCTTCACCAACGACACGACTCCCCCCCCCGCCGATATCACACCATGAACTCATCTTCCTCGTCCACCTCTTGTAGATATAACAAACATGGCCTATACTGGACACCCTCCGTCTTCCAGTTCATCCATGACCAACACCATACCTTTTACACCTAATCCCCCTTATACCTTTTCTCCATTGTATAATTCCTCGTTCTCTTCATCATACATACCTTCTACTCCCTTTCAAGACTAAATCTACGTGTACCACAATGGAAAGACAAGTTGGCCATGGGCAAGCGGAGCTGCACCTTTTGCTGCCGCTTCCCACTTTTCCAATGCTGCATTGGCCTCCTTGAGCTCGCGCCGCAGCCGTTCACGTTCCAAGAATAACATGTCCCTCTTCTCTCAGCTCGTCCATTTCCCCTTTGACCTCTATTAGCCGCGCCTGGTAACGCTCCAACTCTCCACGCAGATCGAGAGGAGCGCGTTCATCTTGACGCTGTTTTCTACAAACTGTAAGTAAAGGAATATATCACAGAAGCCAGTTACGCACCTTGGAGTTGCTCAATCTCCAGCTGAGACAGTTCTTGCCCCGCCTCTTCGCCATAAAGTCGATCCGTAAATGTCTGGTCTCCCGTCTGCGAATCCAGCGCACCGCCTCGCTCGAAATATGGCCTGCGGTTAATTGGCCACAGCGAAAACGGCCACGCACATTGAGCTTGTATCTGGGCTTGAGCAGCCTCTTCTGCTTCCCGAATAGCTGCCAAATCCGCGTCATGGGCAACGACAGCCCGCACATTCTCTTGCTGGCCTTGGGCTTTGAAGAGCAGTTGGAAAGATGTCGATTAAGAGCCGAAGTGCTCTTGTAGTCCTTCTCGTAGAAAGGACGCTTGATGACAGCGAGCACGAGCAGAAAAAAGAGCCAGGGCCCAGATGACGGGTAAAAGCATCTGCCTGGAAATTCAGATGAGATGACATATGACAAGTCCAATCGCGCACCTAAGCACATTAGTGTATGTCCCAGCTTTACATTCTACATGGAAATGGGGACTGGATTGACCGTTGGACGCGTTTTTTGAGGGGTTGGCCGGTTTGTGAGCGTGTTGTCACCGTCGGACGACGTTGTTTGGCTGTTGTGAGCGTCTTCAGAGCTTCCTAGTGGTGATGCGCAAGTCGCTGACGATATTGACGGTCGCCTGAGGGACGGCGGCGGGGAAAAATGCGGACACGTGATCGCCATTATGACACAGCTATTTGCACGTATTTGCTTGACTATGCTAGGAGCGTTGAGGCCATAAAAACAAGATATACATAGAAAGAACGGATTCGCAGTGTGTGATGCAATTATATATCTCCAATTATTTCTTCAGACAAGAACTTATACATACACAATCGGGCTTGGGCGCGTGTTTCCGTAATTCCCGTTCGACTGAATCAAAAAGTTAGCTTCAGAAGGATGAGAAGTGGAAGAAAATCGCACTAGAGGCAAGATGTTTGCTGTAAGCAGCATGTTTGCGCATAGTGGCCAGTTGGGGACGAATAGCATTGGTGAGAGCCTCTTTCTGCTCGCCTTCCGCTACTGCAAGCGCTCGCTGGAGAACATAATCTGAATCGCGAGTGAGAAGGGCTTATCACAGTCTTCTTAGTTGGAAAACTCACTGCCGTATTGATCCTTCATGAGCAACCCGATTGGTGTCAGGCCATCAGGTCGCAAAGCCGGTCCCATCAGTTCTTCGATTATCGCCTTGCGACCATCTGAGTCACCAAAGATCATCGCCTTCTCACAGACGTTGGAGGCAAACTTGTGGCAAGCCATTGCTAGCACGCGCCCGCCGAAGCTGAGTAAGAATGGACGATCGGTCGCAAGGCAATCCGTTTTCCAGAATGAACTGGACGATATAGTTCTACAACCAACGCAATAAGCCAACTTGAAGAGGAAAAAGAAAGGCAAGTACTAGCACTGACCCCAAATTGATCTTGCATAAGATTAGCGGTATGACTTGTAAGTTCATCGAGAAGTGGCCGGGTGTATGGTTCAGGAAGGTGACGGAGACATTGTTGCAAGACATGACAGCCAAATGGATGAGAAGCAAGCCCATGGGCGTGGCCGATGAATGTTGAAATGAAACCAAGTCTGTCAGGGGAAACTCGTTCGATAACCTTCTGAATAACCTTGATGCGAATGAGTCATGTTCATTCCCCAGCCTCAGGTAGATCACCTACGTGATTCCCGTTCGAGTCTTTGGCACATCTGAGAATATGGGGCTCGAGTTCTTGAACAAACTTGACTTGCTGCTCCGGAGTTACACATTCAAAAGCCTTTCATTGTTGTTAGCTATTCGTAAGTTGGTTAGACGTCGACTTGACTTTTGCACGACGGCAGCCATAGACATTGGATGATAGATAGATGATATGGCCTTCCATGGCACCAACAAGAGTGTCCTTGTGGGCCTGGGTACCATGTTCCAGTAGCTTCTGTATTACCTGCAGTGAGCAGAGTCGTAAGCTGGGGACGGCAAAAGTTGAAGCAACTCACATAATTACCGAAAACATCTTGAATTAGATGTAATGTATTGTCGGGTCGATTTCATCGAATACGCATTGGATTTCTTCACTTGTGGCACTATTGAGCTTGTGTGCCAAACGAAACTGGTCCAGCATCTTACTAGTAAATGAGGGTGTTTGGGTTTCGAATCGGCGACTTCCGCGCGCCATCATACCAAACCCAGTCCCACCACCGTACATATTGAGGATTTGGTTCCTATAATCAGGCTGAGGAGGATAGCTCATGGGAGAGAGCGGTGGAAACATCACATTGCGTGATGCTACATAGCTGCTGTTGTAAGTTGTACTAAATTTGCCATTGTCAATAACGTAAGACAATAAGAGTGGCGTCAAGTTCATACCTGCATTTCAATCTTCTTCTCAGTTATTGTAACCGGCATTGGAGGCAGTTTCGAAGGAAGCATGGGTGACGGCGGTTGACAAAGTATCGGAGAGGTTGGATAGTAAACTTGAAACGGGCGGGGGCAAGTTGTAGTCGAAAAAGGTCGGTTGCCTTGGGTCAGGCAAAAGGTCTGGTTGAACGATGGCATCGGTGGTCGAACAATGGTATATGGGGGACATCGGTGGTCGGTAAGCATTCAGATCTAGACTTGCATAGTGCCAGTGCGCGCATTCAGGAAAGGCTTCAGGTCCAAACGCATGCCATGATTGTTGAGGCAGAGGTGATGTCGAAGAGGTGGAAGCTTGTACTCGGAGGATTTCCCTGCGTGAAAGTTGGATGATAGAGCAGCGGAGGTAAGTTGTGGTCGAAAAAGACTGGTTGCCTTGGATCAGACGAAAGGCTGGTTGAACAGTGGTATATGGAGACATTGGCGGTCAGTAAGCATTCGGATCTAGACTAACCAGCTGCGTTGCCAAAATGGACAGAGTCTGCCGTGCACAATGAATATCATCCAAGGCTCGCAAAGCCGTCAAAACTTGTCTCTTGGTCTCGGTTAACAGAACGGTACTATGGGTGGGCATCAGAATTGAAATGCGTACCTGTAATTGAAAATCCACGATTTCTCCCTCAATTCTCAATGGATTAGGATGGAAAGTAGTGCATTTTGAAGGGCCTGTTCGCCCGTATAGGCCGATACAAAAATCTCATGTACTTGCCCAATTCATGGCATGAATGTCGTCCATCTCATCCGTCACCACACCTGTCCACCGTGGAAACCCCGCAATCGTGACCCTGGACTTGGGAGGGACTTCGGACAGCTGATTGAAGGAAAACTCTCGGGTCAAACCTGGTCGGGACGGAGAGATGTTGAAATTGAAGTTGACGAGCAGATTAGCCACGAGTTAACACGCTGCGCTATGCGCGCACACGTTTACTTCTATCCCATCCCAGACACACAGTAACGAAGCGCAAAGCGCGCTCTCGTTCATCCCAGGTTGGCGGCTGTTGTCAGGGGAACCTCCCTTTCGGCCCCTCGGAGACGATCCCGATTCCGGTCCGACTCCGGTTCCGACTCCGGTGATCGCATCACCGCCTCCGTCAGGCGCATCGCCGCCCCCGCCTGGCGATCCCCCTGGGACCTGGCCTGCGACATGGCGCAGGCATACTGCACGGAGCAACGATCAACCTTGGCGCGTCAAGAGCGCAGTATATAGTTCCGCTACCTAGCAGGCGGACCCTTAGAGTTTCTTCTCTTTGGATCCTCCCCTGCTAGGTCAGCCTCACTTGTATTTGCTTACTTCTATTCACTCTTTGGATCCTCCCCTGCTAGGACCTTGATCTCAGGCCTCCGGGGTTGCCCTTACAGCAGAAGAAACTCTCTACGGGATCAACCGGACAAGATTGCTAGGTTCGGCGCTGACTCAGGCTCGGAATACGAGTCCGTTCCGCCCTCGTCACCGCCCCTACCACTTGTCCCCTCCTCCTCTGTCACTCCTGTCGTCCCCGCACCTGTCATGCCTTCCGGAGCTACTCCTGACGCTGACACTCGGCTGGATGCACTCGAGGCGAAAATCGACCGCCTAACTGAGGCCCTTACTCTTCTCACCACCCAGGCTTCCGCTGCCGCTGCCGCCGCTAATACTGCTGGCGGACCCCAAACAACACCACCCCCGGAGACGTCGATTCCGACTCCGACTCCGGTTCAGGGCGATTCGAAGCCCTCTTTGGCGACATCAACCTCGCCTCAAAATTGGTCTTGCGACCAAACCCTCCGTTCACCTTCAACGGCGATCGGAAACGCGGCCGCGCGTTCCTTTACGCGGTCCGCACCTACGCCCGCCTTGCCCCTGAGGCCTTTGTGGTCAACGGAGAGGCGAGTGAGGAAAAGGCCGTCCGCTATGCCATGTCGTTTATGGCAGAAGGACCCGCTCAGCAATGGGCGGAGCGCCACGGAAGCAAAGCCCCGTTTCCGTTTCCGTCCTGGGGCTCGTTCGTTCCGAGTTTCGACTCCGGTTCGTTGAGGAGAACGAGCAAGATCATGCTCTCTCCAAACTGGAGACTTCCGCCTATCACATGGGCACAAAGGATGTCTACCAGTACACCGACGACTTCGAGGACCTGATGGACCTCGCCGGATTCGAAGACGCGTTGGTCAAGGTGACCAAGTTCCGCCCACGGACTTGACCCCTTGATCAACAACGGAATCACGTCCTCGAACGACCCCCCGGACCTCCGGGACTACCTTAGCTGGCGCACCCGGGCCTTCCGTCAATACGAGGCCCTGGTCCGGGCCAAGCTGATCAAGTCAGCCGCCCCCAAGACGCCTGGCGGTTTGATTCGGACTCCGTTTCCGGTCAACCGCATCCCGGCTCCGGCCCCTTTCCGCCCGGTGGCTCCGGTCGTGCCACCCGCGGCCCGCGCCCCCGCTCCGGCGCCTCCAGCTCCCGTCCCCATGGAGTTGGATCGCACTAGGGCTCGGGGTGCCCCTCGTCGCGCCTGCTTCAGGTGCGGCGACCCAAACCATCTCGCCCGGGATTGCCCCCTCCCGCGGACGTCCGCTCAATGGACATCCTCGACGAGGTGATCCAACAACTCGGTGACGAGATGTTAGCGGAGTTGATCGCCCGCTACTCGGACACAGCTGCGCTGCCGGAGACAGCTGCGGAGTCGATGGCCGGAGAGGATTTTGTCCCCGCGACGAGTGACTGGTGTGCCCTCGTTCGCGTCCATAAATCGTTTCGCTTGTTTGTATGACGAATCAATTCCTTTGCCCTACAACGAGCCTGAAACGAAAGACATACCCTCCCCTGCCCCCATTTCGACTCCGTCTCCGACTCCGCCCGCGACTCCGGTTGTCGTCCTTCGCCGCCTCACTGCCTGGGAAAAGAAATTGCCCAAGCAGTACACTGTCGCTGCCTCCCCTGGAGTAAACTCCCTCCACCTCCCGTTGGAGCTAGAGTCCACCACCAGTGCGTTGAAGCTCTCCCTTTCTGGGCTTGTTGACTGTGGTGCCACCTCCGACTTCATCGACACGAACCACGCCGCTCGGAATGGCATTCCGGTCCGCACCCTGGCGCAGCCGATTCCGGTCTTCAACGTCGATGGCACTCCGAATGATGCTGGCTCCATCAACCAGATCGCGGACTTGGTCCTACGCTACAAAGGCCATTCCGAGCGCGTTCAACTCGCCGTCACCCATCTCGGTAAACAAGACCTCATCCTGGGGTACTCTTGGCTGCGGAAGCATAACCCAGAGATCGATTGGGAAACCAAGGAGGTCAAGATGACCGGTGCCCCCGCGGCTGCTCCACTTGCCGCGAGGAAGAACGCGTTGAACGGACTGAGCTACGGCGACTCCGGCTGCTCCAGAAGCGACTCCGCTCCGGCCCGTTCCCCTCGGTCTGCGCCATGGACCTTTCTGGGTCTGACGACGGAGAGGATTCCGTCTCCGGTGACGACTCCGGCCTGCCTGATCTGACGCCGGACTCTGACGACGACGATGACGATGGTCAGCTTGAAGATGGTGACCGCATCTTCTACACCTCGTTCCGTCCCTCGGAGGAGATACGCGCTGGCAGTACTGTCTCGCAGCGCCTGGCTGAAGCCTTCGCCAGGAACTCCGCTCCCCCCGCCCTCCGAGATCCCGGACTGGGCTAAAGAGTTCCAGGACGTCTTCAACAAGGAGTCTTTCGACACGCTCCCGGAACGGAGAACCTGGGACCACGCCATCGAACTCGTCCCCGACGCTAAGCCGGCCAACTGCAAGGTGTACCCCATCTCGCCCCTTGAGCAACGCGAGCTCGACGCGTTCATCGAGGAAGGGCTGTCGACGGGCCGGATTCGCCCCTCCAAGTCTCCGATGGCGTCTCCGGTCTTCTTCGTCAAGAAGAAGGACGGCGGACTCCGCTTTGTCCAGGACTATCGGGCCCTCAACGCGATGACCGTCAAAAACCGGTACCCCCTTCCGCTGATCAACGACCTCATCAACCGGCTCAAAGGCGCTCGTTACTTCACCAAACTCGACGTTCGTTGGGGCTTCAACAACGTCCGGATCAAAGAAGGTGATGAGTGGAAGGCAGCTTTCCGGACTAACCGAGGCCTGTTCGAGCCCTTGGTGATGTACTTCGGCCTGACAAACTCTCCTGCGACGTT